AAAGCGTCATAGACAAATCATTTCCAGAGGGGCGTCACCAACGGACGTCGCGGATAGACCCAAAACCAATCAGAGCGATGAAGGAGATGACGTATGCAGAGCGGCGGAGAATCTCCGAGTGTTGTTCTTTGCTCGGTTTTTAACAAAAAGGAAACGTTCAAATCGCTTAAAACAGACGCGATAGCTGATTCGAACGAGATGTTCGACGGTGGCATCCATCTTTGTAATGTAGGCTACAAAATCTGCTTCAAAATCCCAGCACTGTCGTCATCGTGTAAAGCCCGCCCCAACGTTTCTGATTGGTGCCTCGATTTCGGTGGATTGGAAATGGGTTTGAATGAGCTCTTTGCCAGACTAACTTTCAGAGCAAATCTAAATTTGCCGGAAGTTGTCTGGGTTTTCCCAGGCTACTTGTCATCCACATTATTTCCCACAATTCATCATAATCCCAAACAACAAACCTCTCTGATCCTTTTCCAGTTGGGAGACATTCATCCTACCATTCAGTAACAGATGACCTGTCATCTTTAAAATATTTGAGAATAGACCTAATTCAATTTCCACGCTTGGGCAGTTTGCCGTCTCCATGCTCAAGCTGTGAATATCCCTAGCTGAATCCACCAACTAACCAGAATCTTGTTATCCCCATGGATAATGAATGACGGGCTCCACGTGGCGGAGTGTTATCCTACTGAATCTTTCATGGCCAGGCTATATGGTTTGATGCATGTGTTGTATATTTGGCTTGACGCGGGTGTGGTGCAGTGCACTGGAAGTGTATTTTACCACGGCTGTCTTCTTTCTGCAGTGTGTTTTCTCTCAGGGAAAGTTCTGAAGGCCCTGCCATGCATAAATCAGCTCTTTTGCTATACACACATCACTCACCTAAGATGGCACAGTTGCAATGCTATTTTTGAGTTACCAGCTCATTCATTTTTTTTCTTTTCTTTTTTACGTATTTGAAAATAGTCCGTATTTGCAGTTATGTTTTGGGCCACTTGTGGCATAGAAATAACACACTTCACCCTTAAGGCCCTGATATACTCCAACCGAAATCGAAAAACGAACTGGTGTGGCGTAATTTTGAACAAAATCAGGCCAAAACGAACTTCATTGGGAGTTCTTTTCGGGAGTTCGAAACAGCTTGCCAAAGCAAACTTACCAGAAAAGTTCATGCAAACAACCATTGATTATACATTTCCTCAAGTATGCTTTCTTTTAACATTTATAATTAGCCTGAATAACAAAAGGCATTGCCTTAACTCTCAAGTCCGCCTGATTGTCATAGAAACTATTGGCATTGTCATAGTAACTATTGCTCACAAGTACAGCCAGAAATGTGCATCTGGTGTCGGTTTGAAAACAGCTAAATGTCTCCTGCAGGCTCGATAGAAAAGTTATCAGATGAACCTGCAACTGATTCTATTTGAGAAAAGCCCATCTGGAAATTCGGACCTTCACTTGTCTTTGTCAAAAGAGAATGAGCCACTTTGTCGCAGATGCCGGCAGGCTGAGAAAATGCCAAATTGCGCATTTACCTCAGCGCAATCCTCTTCTGAACAATAAACAAATCCTTTGTTATCCACACAGGAGCCAAAAAAAAACAAAGTGAATCAATCTTGAATAAAAAGCCATTTAATGAGCTCTAGCAGTTTTGCACAGCGCTGTGCCAGAATCGTCCCTCTCATATAATGCACAGATGGGGAGTAATGTTTAACAAGACATGGGAATTTGGAGGGGAGTGCGCTGCCTCAAATGATTGCAAATTGATTTTGCCCCAACAACATGTTTCTAATAGGCCTTGTTTGGATCCGTTCCTGAGGGAAATCTCATTCTTGCATTGTTGATGACCCTGAGGAACATTCGGACACACTAAATGTGTTTTACTTTTAACCCTTTGCTTCTTTGTCTCCCATCATAAGGAATTTGACATTAATCTTGTCTCCTTGTATTAATGTATTAGTAGGCTACTAATGTGTTGTGATTTGTCATACCTGTCAAAAATGCATGAATTCAGCAATAATGAAATGCCTACCTGAATGTTAGAGCCATTGTGCAGTGATTAACACCAAGATTTGGCTGGTTAGCATGGTCCAGTTAGCAGCTGTTGCTAGATGCCGATGTTGTGTAAAATTCTACCCCCAAGATGTAGCCATTTGTTATGTCTGTTAAAAATAAACCACATTTCACAATGTCTCCTCATAGATAATCAAAATAGCGTTTCCAGTTATCCAATTGTAGCACTGGTCACTAATCTAGCAGGCTAACCAGCTAGCAGCATGCTAAACTTGCAGCCTAATATTGTTGCAGTGATAACATATTTTTGTTGGCTAATCTAAAAGTTAGCATCACCTTACCTCTAATAATATTTTCCTTTTGGAATCTTGCACAGAATATTCTGTGACCAACAAAAATTCATGATTCTTACACGTTTTGATCATCATGATAATCTTCACAAATTAACACAAATAAGTCTAAATATAATAGGCGAAAGTAAAAAGCTAAGCATAGGATATACGGTTGCATGAGTTTAATGCCATCACTATTATGTTTCCCACAACTCTTTAGTTTTTATGTAAAAAAAGTTTGAGACAGAATAGTTTGCAAGAGGGGAATTATAAACACAAGGCTGTGAAAGCGAACTAATGAGACTTCCTAAAAGACTTGCTCTGTCCTTCCATTTGTTCATATTTGCTCTCTTTTTTTGCCGAGGTTTAGCCTATTAATGTCCGCAGCGGACATGAAAGCAATCGGCGTTTCCATTTTTCGTTAGTGGACATAAATGCCCCCCCCCCCCCTTCTGTATACAAAGTGGCACACATTCATGTCACATGGTTATCAATTTTGTTTATTTTTTGGACTTATACGGTTGTTCGTCACATGGACTATTGTTGTATTTCCACAGTTAGCATAACATGCATCACAAAGCAATTTTGTAGGTTATTTTTTTATCAGGCACTGAGTAGGCTATATTTCATTACATTACAATAGACTTTTTTGCTAGTGACTGCACTTAAAAGCATACAATTTACTTTTTACCCTTTGACATCACAGCTCAGGATGGCTAGTGAATGTTTTAGGAAAATAAATGGGATGCTAATGGCTAGCTCAGTTAGCAGATCCCCTTTGCACACATGCTCCTGACAATGTTTCATATTATTTTTTGCTCTCTCTTCTCTCTCTCTCTCTCTCTCTCTCTCTCTCTCTCTCTCTCTCTCTCTCTCTCTCTCTCTCTCTCTCTCTCTCTCTCTCTCTCTCTCTCTCTCTCTTTCTCTCTCTCTCTCTCTCTCTCTTTGCTGTATATCCTGTATAATTAAAGCCATAAAAATCCTCATAAATATAATTAATTTAAACAAATCCAAAGTGATAATTTTCATGTCTTTTTCATCAGCGCTAATTAATCCGGAACAGGCTCATGTGTATGACCTCATCATTCATTAAACAATTATTCAAATGAGCAATTCAAAGGATGATCCCACTTGTACCATCTTGCTCTGACCAAAGATATTTAAATTAGGGTCCTTGTTTAACTGAACTAATAACCCACACACCTTATTCATGAGTGTCTCAGCCAGCAACATTTCCTGTAATGAGTCCACAGGCATTATGTAGTAACATACTGGACGGATGGCATTAACATATGTATGGTGGAGTACATCCTCTACATTGTAATTCACAGCATGTCTGCCTGCTGGTGATGTGAATACGTATATGGACCACCAGTGGGAATAAGATATGCACGGGATTCTTGCGTAAATCCTCGCTTGAGCCAGAAAGACAGCTAGAATTGTGTCGAGTGAGACCAATCTCATTTGCTGCATTAGCGGAGACCCAAACAGCTGTCAATAAATGAAAAGAGGCATCTGTGTCTTCTGACAGGCCTGGGTTTCATTAGTAAGCACATTTGGTTAGTGTGAAACAAAGGAAGGAACATTTAATAAGGCATGCTTTACAGTAAAAGGAAAAAGGCTGATTTTGTTCAGGAATGCATGTTTACTTTATTGCACTAGATACCATTGCCTGTTACGATTTTTACTGAACTATCCTGCTTGTTACTAGTTATTGTTACTAGACTAAATATCATCAAATATACAATTAAATAACTTACAACATTACAATAAAACTACCTAACTTTCAGTTTGATGTCAGATAGAAATATTGATATTTAGTGTTTAGATATTTAGTAACATTAAGTGAAGGACATTTCAGTAAAATATGCTTAATAGTATCTATAAGTACAATAAATGCATTACTACTAAACAGTATCAGCCCTTTTTCCATGTTTCCATGGTTTCCAAGTTTTTATTGTAATTTTGTCATAAGTTTTTTTTTATTATGTATTTATTTTTTTGCCTTCAATATAGCCTTTGATGCATATATTGCAAAGGAATGAATACATGACTAAATAATGTTTTTTTGATAAATATTCTACTTATTTTAGTGCTAATACACCTAAACAAATTTGTAGATGTAATTTATTACTGATTAAAATATATGTATAAAAAATAGATGTGAAACAATCATCTTTTTCATCTTTTTGACCACTAGTTGGCAGCAACATGCATCATGTTGAAAAGCTTTGAGTAAGTTTGACTGTTTTTCAAAACAGTTGATAAGAAAGCCTCTGTGCTTCTCAAAGTATTATTTAACCATCACTAGAGTACCCCAGATCTCCATTTTCAATCCATTGTGGTTCCTTGGTTCCCACTCATGTTTTTAAAAAAAACTGTTTTGACATCAGCCAAACCACTGATGTCAAATGTACTAGCCTAGGCTGCGTTTCACAAAAGCATCGTAAGCCGAAATCGATTCTAGAACAATTGCCACCAATGGTCTCAACTCAACAAACAACTTACGATGCTTTTGGGAAACGCAGCCCATGGTTAAGAAGCCTGTAATTTATATCATGAGTGTGTATAAAGTTCAAATCTGTCTTTCATTTATGCTTGTTGATTCAGTGTTTATTTCCATTTGCAGACTCAGCATGTGGCCCAATGAGAGCTAAGGTGATTAGAAGTTACAAACTGCTATCCTTACAGTCAAACTCAAGAGACCCATTTGATTGGAGCCTCAAGGACCTCTCAAGATTTCTTCAGCCGTAAACACGCAAGCAGTTCAAACAAACAGACACAAACCATATCAACTACGGATTATGCCCATATAGGCTCAAGACGTGCAGTTTAAGTAAGAATATATCTGAAACAATGGCGGACCCCTACCACAACAACGTTTACCACCAGGGAGATGGAGACAGCTATGGGACATATGGACAGGGAGGACCGGATGGCTACGGTTATCAGACTGACTACCCTCCCCAAGAGGAAGACGCCGCCAGTGACGCCACCGAGGGACACGATGAAGATGATCAAATGTATGAAGGGGAGTACCAGGGCATCCCGCATCCAGATGAGGCCAAGACTGCCAGGAGGGCGGCGAGAGCGAAAGCGAGGACCACGGCGGATGCCGTGTCAGATCAGGAGGAGCTGGCTGAACAATACGAGGACATCATGGAGGACTGTGGACACGGGAGATTCCAGTGGACCCTGTTCGTGGTGTTGGGTCTGGCGCTAATGGCGGACAGCGTGGAGTGCTTTGTAGTGGCCTTAGTGTTACCCAGTGCGGAGAAAGACATGTGTTTGTCCCACTCTGAGAAGGGAATGCTGGGTAAGTCCCCATTTTAGAGTTCGGAATAGCATGCTATCAGACTACTTTCAGTATTTATGCAGTACACACATGAATGATCCACTAATTTAGCCAAAATCGGCAGTATACTGCGCTATCTACTGGTTTCCCATAATGCATTGCACACATTTCCTTTGCTAACAGCCTTTCAGGCTGCTAACTTTTGTTTTATATTGTAGAACATACTCTGCGCATATATACATAGTATATGTGTGTGTTCTATAGTAATCTGGACATGCTACATTCGTCATGTTGTCGTTATCATGTGACCATACCAGAGTCAGATGCGTCACTTCACTGTCACAAATCCTCTCCTGTGCCCTCATGAGATGGTAAAGTGTCCATTGTATGCTCACTTTAAAATCTCGCCTACTGTATTTTGTTATACTGTGAATTCAGACTCTGTTCATATACTGTTTTTCACAGACTATATAAGTATGCTATATTGGGTGCAGCCATAAACAAAATGCTAAATAACAGTATTTAGCAGAAATGTTAACCCGGACACCATCAGCTGAAGTAAACATGCAGTGAGGTTGTGGGACAAAATGTAGTGTAATACTAACTAATTTAACATAGCAGGTGGTAGGCTATATAGCTAGCATCCCATTGTTAGCCCATCTCAGTTACAATTTATGTCAACTGACAATTAAAATGATCATAAGTGTATGGTGTTGTTTTATGGATGGGTGTGCAGATATCCTTTTACCTGCATCTTTTTAAAAAATTAAGTTTAGCTGGTTATGGAGTCCTGGATGCTTTTCCATGCACATACTGATGATTTTTTTTTTAGTTTAATTAATCCTAGTGGTTTTGTGAATTTAAGCAGACCTAAGTGAATGCATATACAGTTATTTTAGCCAACTGCTACTTAAGGAGACCATCAATTAAGAATGTTCTCAAATTAGCTAATGGAGCACTCGACAGTTAAGATTCATGCAACTGGGTTTCGCACTCGGCCTAACATCAATCCGTTCTTGCTAAGTAAAGCAGTTGGGGGAACTGACTCGTGACTCCCAGCTGTAAGACTACGATGGGTTCGTTTTCGACCAAACTAAAGCCTCAGAGAAACAATTAAGCAAGACCAAGCAACCAAGAAAGTGTTAGAAAGTTGTCTTTTTTACCCCAAAGATATTGTCCCTATAGCTGAAATAGAAGCTTCATGGTAATTAACTTGGAAAAAATAGTTTATTATTTTATTTTATTTTTATTATTTTTATTTAGTTGCTATTGTATTTTCAAAAGATAAAATCAGACATATGATTTTAGTGTTTTATTTTATTTTATTTTGAGCTAAACTTAAAATTCATCTGTAATATAGGCCCTAAATAAATTACTATCAACTATAAAGGGAGAGTTTGAGAAGCAAGATCGATATATATATTGTTTCTGAACAGCATTTTGAGATATGCTTCACTTCAGAGATATGCCTGATTATCCAGAGATATTTTTTTATTGATCTACTTTCCTTAATTCAATAGTTACTACAGGAAGCCAGATTTAAAGACTTTGGCTTACCTTGTAATAATGAAGGCAATCTACAAATCTGTCTATCGGATTGAATTGTTCAAGGCACCAGAGGTGAGAGTGCAAAACCTCCCCCCTGTTTGGTTAAGTGATATTGATGTGTGTGCAGAAGCATTGTGTATGAGAGAGTAAAGACTGTCTGTGAGCTTCAGGGAGCCAGAATGAGTGAGCACTTTTCATCCTGCATGTCCGTCAGTGGAGAACAACTGAGTCAGCAGTTAGTAGCCCGACGGATCGATAGCTTCTCTTCTGACCTTGCTCTGATACATAATCCTGTGCTCACCTCCCCCTGCAATCTCCATCGAGTTATATTCATCACTCGCTTTTTCATATACTTAACAGTGTTGGTTCTGATCTGCCATCTTTACAGAGACATTGAAGCTTTTTGCAGGTATAGAACTGAACATGAAGTCTTGTAGATGGATCTGCCACTTTACTTTACAGGTTTTCATAGTTGTTTTCATTTTTTGGCCTAGCACTGTGCCAGATTTCATGACGCTGCAGAGTTTACATTGATTTTAGTGGTGTGCAGAAATATCCAGGTGGTGGGTAATGCTAGTCAACTAATCGCTTTTAAAGTGCGGTCACATTTACCATTGTTTGGTGAATTTTCACAGGTGAAATCCATTCATTTTTAAGGAATCAACGAAATCTGGAATTTCACGTTAGGGCGAAAGATTTCCCTCACGGATTTTGCATCGGGTTCAGTTAGTCATGCGGATTCGCCACGCTGACCAACAGAAAGCTGCTTGGTCTGAAAGAGACTTCTGTGTGAGCTCTGCTTTATGCATCGCTACACCTTTTATAGACAATATTATCTTGATAGACAAGGTAATAATCAAAAAATTTCACAGAAAATGTAAACGCTTACTTTTATGCCTGAATAATTAGGCTGGTTTGAAAGGGAGCAGCTGAAGCACAACATGATAATTAAACACCAAATATCATTACTCAAAAGATTTTTTTATTTTATTATTATTATTATTTTACAAATATAAGACTAGTCGGGCTTACTAATCAAGTTAAAAAAAAAGTCAAATACTCAGCTAAAGTGTCTCATCTGTACCTGATTTGCAATGAAACACTGCAACAAAAAGTTCTAGCTAAGCTAAAGCAATTTCATAATTTAAATTGAAATAGTTTCCTGGACCCTCCGTTATCTTTCATTGGTCCCCAAAAAACAAATAACCCCGCCCGAACTCATGCCATTGGTCGAGTCAGTGTTGCTATGTCAGCCTGGTCGGAATTCTCAAACAAACACAGCAATGTTTTGAAAGCGCCAAGGGGTTTTAGTTCTCGGTGGAATCAGCCTACGAATATCTTATTTATAGTCTCTGCATATTAATTTGGGATTTGTGAAAGTATTGAAAAAATGACACACATCACCTTTAACCCTGGCAATATAAACTCAAGTTCTCATTTAAATATGAATGACAATAAAGCCATAGCCCTCATTTTGGCTCTGAAACATTGTCACGACTGCGTGACTCTGCGGATTAAGGCTGACCAATGGGATGCTGGGAGGATCCTCACGCTGAGTGGTGGGGGATAATGGCAGCTCAGCTCCATATGTTGATCTGCTCAGAGAGGACTGTGCTGTCACTCTCCCACCAGTCCGACACCAAGCTCCCTTCACCACATGACCATCTGTACTCAACGCCAGGCCCTCGTGCTTCATGCCTGTTCAACGCTATAGTTCGGGGCTGTGTATTATGCAGAATAGATTTCATCAAATGAGTTAAAAGGAGTATTGGTGTCTGAAACCAAAATAAAATCAGAAAAAAAATATGTGTATTAAAGAATTTAATTGAATAAGTATTTAAAATGTATATTTTCAATTCTTAAATGTTGCATCTTATATAATTAACAAACTATATGAGAATATGTTTTTTGTCTAATTTAAAAAAGAGACTCTTGAAGTCTGAGCTGAGGCTTTTTGTTTATATGATGTTAATATGAGTCTGTTTTTTTGTTCAAATCATGCAGATATTAATAATGACAGAAATTCTGTGATATCTGAAGTCTGAATTCTAAGTCTTGAGCTAACTTTAACGTTTGTACATTTTGTGGATGCTTTTATCTAAAGCAACTTTTGTGACATGGGCCCTGTCCCAAATGGCACACTCCGGACTTGTGGACTTCCTCAGAGTTCACACTTCGGTGACGTCATGTAGTGCAGACCTATAGGGCCCTTAGCGCGAGGGCGCATTTAGAGGTATTTTTGGGACAGACTCGATCGTCACGCCGGAAACAGGAAGACGGTCTGATTGTTGTTATGGACAGGAGCTACAGGTTCGGGGAAATATGCTGCCTATTGTTGTTGTGTTTACATATGACTCAGTAAAGCCCTGACATTCTGTTCTATTTATTTAATGAATCATAATGCGATCGTATTATTCAGCTCGCTATTATTAGCCTATGTTTGAGACATCAACCACTGGTCGATGATCATAATGTTTGTATAAACTTGTCATAAAAACCGTAATGATAATTACACTAAATATTTTCTTCTCAGCCATGTTAACAATTGTCCGTGAGCGAAATCTCCTCCCATCCGTTGTCTGATTGGCCTTTCGCAAGGATTCCTGGGTAGTTAAAGTGCGTGGAGCCTGCATCTATGCGGGCTTCGCGGAAGACCGCTTCAAGGGTAGAAAGGGGGCGCTGCTGAGCAGCACACTTCAGAGTGTTAAAATGCTAAATGGGACGGCCTACGGACTCGTAGACTCGGCGAGCACGCACAATTTAAGTCCACGAGACCGAAAGTCCGCATGAAGTGCGCCATTTGGGACAGGGCCATGGTCATGCATGGTAACTGAACCCATGCTTGTTAGCGCCATTCGCTAGTTTAAGCTAAAAACTAGCTTCAGTGTTGAATCATGATTAAAATGAAACCTTTTAAATTTCTGTTGCATTTCTGAAGTATAATTGTAATAATCTTGCCTTTCAAAAAAGGAGTTAATCTACTGGCATAATGATAATGTGCCACCACCATCGTATGACATTTGCACAAAGGTTCAAATTGAATGCCAGCTCTTTCAGTGTTCTCTTAAGTGAGCACCCCGCTGACAGGTACAATCACTAAGCATGCCGTGTCAGCCTAGCACACCTGTGAGTCCTGCTATAGCTTCTGAACACCCACTCGCACTCATTAAGATTGACCTGGGCTGGTTTCCCAAAAACATCTTAAGCCTAAGTTGATTGAAGAACAATTGTCACCAATGGTCTCTACGATCAACTTAGGCTTACAACGCTTTTAGGAAACGCAGCCCAGAACCGCAAAACCTTTTATTGCAATCACTTAACATTGTGACTGCTCATTTGATTGTTCTTTTCCCTCTATTTCTGACACTGCATTAGCTTATTAAGTTGATTGTGGTTACTTGAGTTCTGATCTTATATATGTTTATGTCATTTTAAAAAAAACACATGTTGGCTCTATTGAATCTCATTAGATAAGAGTTATTGAAAGTAAACACTGCACAGAACATTTATTTTGGGGGGTGATCAGAATCCGAATGCACACTAACAAGAAGGAAAGGAGGGAGATGGCGCCCCCTAGAGGTACTCAAACAATATGTCTACTAAAATTGTTTGAAATGTATCAATAAATAAACACATGAATAAATAACATCAAGTATTTAGTTAAACGAAATGTAATTAAACATTAAAGTATTTATTTCTGTATGTACATGTTGTTTTTTTTACATTGTAAATATTTTTAAACAAATAATATTTTAAATAATATTCAAATATTCAAATATAATAGTATAATGTTAAAATATTATATATATTTAATGTATAAATATATATGCATATGTATATATATATATATATATATATATATATAATTAATGATATAGAAAAGTTATATAAATCTACTGTTAGTCAGTTCTCACATGGTTTGTTGTTTCTCCTGCAGGTTTGATAGTATTTCTGGGAATGATGTTTGGAGCATTTTTTTGGGGTGGCCTGGCTGATAAAGTGGGCCGACGGAAATGTCTGGTCATCGTCCTGGCCATGAACTGCATCTCTGCCTTCTTCTCCTCATTCGCTCAGGGATATGGCTTCTTCCTGTTCTTCAGGCTGTTCTCTGGATTTGGGTAAGCTGGAGGAAAAAACAAAGCAAAGAAATAAAGAGAAGGAATGGTATATCAAGAAAAAACACTTGGGTCTGCCCTCCACCTTGGAAGCCATATAATTGCTTGATAATAAGTCGTTGTTTTCCATTGGAGCTTGAGCCTTTCTGTAAATCAGGCTTGTCCAGGCTCAGGCCTTTCTCCCTCGGCTCAACATCTAATTTAAACCAAGCAAGGCTGGGCAGTAATTACAGTAGGCTACTGATCCACAGGGAACTCTCAATCTAGCTGCCTCTGGTAGTATTTTCAAGCAATAAAAGCCTAGGGCTACATCCTGACTTTAGAGGTCTCCTCAATATGCTCCCGTGGCCATTTATGGAGGTTTTGTGAACAAGAAAGAGTTTTTCAGGTACATGAATTATTGCATTGTAAGATAACTGCTGCCCTGTGTTTTCTTGCAGGATCGGGGGCTCCGTCCCAATCGTGTACTCATACTTCTCTGAGTTCCTGCAGATGGATAAGAGAGGAGAACATCTCAGCTGGCTCTGCATGTTCTGGATGATGGGGGGCATCTACGCCTCCTTCACAGCCTGGGGCATCATCCCTCGATATGGTACAAACCTTATTTTGTAGAGCGGTGTAAGGATTTAGTTCCTTTTCCCTATTTGTTTTTACAGGTTTTTTTTTTTTTTTTTGTGCTGTATTTCAGGCTGGGGTTTCAGTATGGGCTCTGAGTTCCAGTTCCACAGCTGGAGGGTGTTTGTGTTGGTCTGTGCTCTCCCAGCAATAGCAGCTTTTGTTGGGCTTATGTTCATGCCTGAGAGCCCACGCTTCCTGCTGGAGGTAGGCCTACATAACTATATTTCAGCTAAACAATAGCTTTGTTCCAAGACCTAGTGAGCTGTCTCGCTGCTTAGCTACTAACTACACAGATGGCATCATAACCTGTCATAAGTGACCGATTTGGAACATTCTTCATAGGCTGCAACTCACACCACACAAATATTGAGCTAAGTTTGACATTAGCATGATGCTAAGCTAACCAAGTAATACTCTAATAAACAAACCCACAGCACACGTGAATATTAATGAGGGTAAAATAATCTATTTTAATTACACTATTTATTTCAGTACTGAGGGAAAAGGTTTATTTACAATCAAGATTTCACCTTTATTTTTTCACAAGTCTAATATGCAGGGTTTTAATTATGCTAGGTTTTGAAACGGACAAAAAGTGAAATTTTTCCTCTTTAAATGTATAAATATAAATGCATGTAAGCACATGTAGTTGTTGCTTGAACTTGTAAAACTATACTACCATTCAAAAGTTTGGGGTCAGTACAAATTCTTTTAAGTATGAAAGAAGTCTCACGAATACAGTAAAAGCAGTTATATTGTGAAATAATATTGCTTTTCATTTAAATATTTTACATAATTTATTCACATGATGACAAAGCTGAATTTGGTGCTCAAGAAACATTTGAAATTATTATCAATGTTTAAAACAGGGGGGTTCAACTCCTTTTTTTTTGGAAACCATTATCCTTTTTTTGCAGAATTCTGCATTAATTTGAAAAACAGCATTTATTTATTTAAAATAGAAATATTTTGTAACATTATAAATTATTCTACTGTCAGTTCTGATGAATTTAAGGCATCCTTGCTGACTTATATATACTGTGTATATATATATTTTTATATATATATATATATATATATATTTAAATCATACTGACCCTAAACTTTTTAATGGTAGTGTATGTATCTCACAACTCAAGCCAATATGAGTAATATTGTCACAGCTGTGAGAAAACAATATCTGTCTCTTCTAGAATGCTAAACATGATGAGGCCTGGATGATCCTGAAACAGGTTCATGACACCAACTGGAGAGCCAAAGGAGAACCTGAGAGAGTGTTTACTGTAAGTCTAATGATTTTTAAGAACTGATTTGATGTTTGTAATAAAACTTTTATCCAATTATATCTACTATGATAACATGGTGAAATCTGGCTTTTACCATAATGCCTCAAAAATAATGAATCATTTTATCCAGGTAACTCATATCAAGACTCCAAAGACACAGGAGGATGAGTTTATTGAGATTCAGTCTGCAACGGGAACTGCTTTCCAGAGATGGGGTGTTCGAACTTTGACACTGACCAAGCTGGTAAACTAAAAAGCTAACAGTTCAGTAGACCTTAAGTTATTCAGTGTGTAATCTTAAAATAAGCTATTTTTGTGTGCAGGTCATCAAAAATATTGTGTCCCTCTTGGGTCGTGATCTAAGACTTGCTACTCTGCTAATGGCCATCATATGGTTCACTATGGCATTTAGGTAAAGCATTTTTACTAATTCCTAATTAGTCTTCATTTCTGAAACACTGGTGGTAAATGTTAGCGCCTATAGTGTCAGAAAATGGAACTGCAATAGAGGGTATGCGCATGACGTCACCGTCGGCCGGAGTGAATGCGGTCACGCCCACAAGTGGCAAAAAGACTGAGCGGCAGCATTTGTTTTCAGCGTGAATGCCGTGAAAATCACACAAAACACATCTAAAACGGGAAAGAGCTTTGCGATTGACTGTACAACTAGATTTGACCAGAAATCTGAGGTACTGTATATTTTTACAGACTGCAAAAAGCTACAGAACAGACTATATTCTGCATAATTGGATGTTTTTAAATAAACACTGACAAAAAACTATACAAGTTTTAGGGCTGGACGATATGATGATATACAGTATAACATTAATGTAAGTGATCACTCGGATTTAGACCTATCTATATTGTATTTATATAAAACGTTTACAGGCAAATTTTCTTCATTTATTTCCCCGGCGTCGAAATCAGGCACATATAAATGTCAGGAAACACGATTCCTGGCTGCATGTCAATATCCATGGATCAATGGATCTTTGATAAGTTGTAAGGAACACTATATCGAGTCCAACTTTTAGTTTAAACTGATAATAGTTTGTTTTACTCGTGTTAACGCAGTTTCCCCTATTAACTCCAGTCACGCAGCAGCTCTTCTGCCACTCAGTCCCGCTGAGGGGGGCGTGTTCCGGCGGGGAAGTGACGTTAATGCATTCCCTCTATACCAGAACACCCACTCTCTCAGCCATTGGTCAGAAAAACAGATAGTTCCTCCCCCAAACTCACACCATTGGTGGAGTATTCACACTTACACTATACATTTCATTATTTGTCTTTCTTGTGGTATATTTCAGTTATTACGGGCTTTCAGTGTGGTTTCCTGACATGATCAAACACCTCCAGCACGAGGAGTATGAATCCAAGCTGAAAGTATTTCATCGGGAGAAGGTGGAGCAATTTCATTTCAACTTTTCTTTGGAAAACCAAGTCCACAGAGAAGGAGAATACATCAACGACAAGTATGTTGACAGAAACACCATCTGCGACGTCTGTTATCCATCAATGATTTTTTTTTATTGTCAGGCAAGAGTTTCTCAATGTGTGTTGTGGGCTTTCATGCAGATTCATCAACATAGAGATGAAGTCTGTGAAGTTTGAAGACTCCTTGTTCGTGGACTGCCTCTTTGAGAACATCCGATCCACAGAAACGCTCTTTGAGAACTGCACCATCCGCAGTACCGTATTTAACGACACAGGTAAGATATCTTATCCACAATCCAGAGTTGTTTTAGCACACTTGGTCTCATGGTTTCTTAATTTCCACAGACTTATATGAAGAAAAGTTCATTGACTGTACATTCGAGAACGTAACTTTCGTGCACAACAAGAAGGGATGCCATTTAGACTATGAGGATGAGAACGACGTCCTCATCTACTTGGTCAGCTTCTTAGGCAGCTTAGCCGTGTTGCCTGGAAATATCATCTCAGCACTCTTCATGGACAAAATTGGACGAATCAAGATTATAGGTGAGCTTACCCTGCTTACAAAGTTCTGTTAGAAGACGTTCTGGCAAGGTTCTCCTTAAGTTATGAACAAATGTTCTTCCAGTTACGTCAATAGAACATTTGTTCAAAGTTATCTGGTCTTTAATAATGTTCTTAAAACATCAGCCGTAAAAAAATATTTATACATCATTCATGGAACGTTTGTTTCTTAAATGTTTTAGTTGGATGTTTTTTACATTTTTTAAATGTTACCACTTGTTTCCGAACATTCAAAAACATTTAAAAGTATACATTCCCATAATGTTTGCAAATATTTATGGGAATGTTGGGGCGGCGTTTTGGACGTTTTGAGCATTATGGGGACATTCAGAAATAACTTTTTCAGAACTTTTGGGTTACTTCACCCAAAAATTAACATTATCCCATAATTTACTCTCCCTCAAGCCTTTCTAGATGTATTTGAATTTTGTCTTTCAGCCAAACACAATCGGAATTATATAAAAAAAAAAAATAATGGGAGTGAATGGCACCTCAGATTTTGAAGCCCAAAAAAGTGCATCCATCCATCATAAAAGTAATCCATTAGGCTCCAGGGGGTTAATGGAGGCCTTCTGAAGCAAAGCGATGCGTTTTTGTATGAAAAATATCTATATTTATAACTTCATAAAAAATGATCACTGGTTACCGGTAACGGCCGTATGCGAGTCTAGTTCCGGTGGAAGAGTGACCTATGACCTATGCTTTCAGAAGGCCTTTATTAACACCCTGGACCAGTATGGATTACTTTTATTTTTTGGCCTTCAAAATCTAAGGTACCATTCACTCCCATTATAAAGCTTGGAAGAGCCAGGGTATTTTTTTATATAACTTCGATTGTGTTTGGCTGAAAGAAGAAATCATATACACTTGGCTGGGATGGCTTGAGAGAGGATGGCTTGAGAGTGAGTATATTATGGGATAATTTTCATTTTTGGGTGAACTCACCCTTTAATGGGAATGTTATCAAAACTTTCTTATATATGTTTTTGCTGTGCCATCTATATTTTTAGTTCTTTGCGGTGCCATCTATATTTTTAGATCTTTGCTGTGCCATCTATATTTTTAGAACTTTGCGGTGCCATCTATATTTTTTAGATCTTTATGGTGCCATCTATATTTTTTAGATCTTTATGGTGCCATCTATATTTTTAGGTCTTTGTGGTACCATCTATATTTTTTAGATCTAATAGCTTGCAATCTGTCACTAATGTATTTTCCAACCAAGACAAGCCTGTGAAAACCACTTTTTCTTCTTTCTACAGGTGGTTCGATGCTTATTTCTGCTGGATGTACCTTTTTCCTTTTCTTGAGCTTTAGTCAGGCAGCCATTATAGCCTGGCAGTGTCTGTTTTGTGGTGTTAGCGTAGCAGCATGGAACGGCATTCAAGTCATCACCGTGGAACTCTACCCAGCTTCAAAAAGGTATATGAAATGCATGCCGCATATTACACACTACATGTCATATTATCTAGGTTTGTTATTTCGACTTTGCAAACAATGGTACAGATAGTTGGGCTTGATGAAATAATAGTATAATTGTTTGTTAAATTTTCTTTAGTACAATTTACTTTTAGGGCAATTAAAAAAACATGAAAACTATTAAAAGACATGAAAACGTTATTTTTGTGCTTGACCTTAGTGCAAATGCAGTTTCCCTGTCAGACCACTAAATTTTGGGGCGCAGAGTCTTTAAATGAATCATGTCATGTGAGGTTTGCGCTAGTCAATTTATTGCTATTTGTGCTATTTTTTTAGTGCCCAAAAAAGGTGATAAATAATGGTACAAATACCAATTTTGAGCCTGACATGACACCCAAAGAACTTCCCACTCCCAATTGCGCTTTTTTTAGATTGTGGCCGTAAGCTAATTTGCCGTTCAGTAAATCTGGCCCTTAAAGTAGTAAACGTCTTTTTAATTCCTGTTCTCAACGTTTCTTACAGAGCCACAGCGTTTGGAGCCTTAAATGCCATTTGTAAGTTGGCGGCTATATTGGGAAGCTCAATCTTCGCCTCATTCGTTGGCATTACCAAAGTCATCCCCATTCTTCTGTCCTTCGGTGCTCTGGTCGGTGGTGGAGTGTTGGCCCTGAAACTGCCTGAGACCAGGGAGAAGATCTTGCTGTGAAAATCTGAAGCCGAACGTTTGGTCCAGGCCATTCTATATGACTATTAGTGTGGAGATAACAACTGCTGGCATGTGTAAAATTGGGTTTATTCAAAAACAAACAAGCAAAATACTAATAATATGTGATATAGTGTCAACAAACTCCATTATTCAAAAAACTACAAGGACCAAATGATGGTTTTACCCCTAGTCAACTATTGATTGATATGCCTGATATTTCATAGACAGTATGTTAAAGGCCTGTTGGGTCATTTGCAGCCCCCCAAAAAATCTGCACTAGCTATATAGTTTCAGAAAAGTCTACAGGGAGTATTATAGAGAAAAAACTCTCTAATGAAAAATAAAATTGTCCCAGATTTGCTTGAATGGAGTAATGTGAGTCGTGGAAGTCTCAATCCTGTGCCATTTCTTGGTAAAAAAATTCAGGTACTGTTGAAGAATTTTCTTTTTATCTTATTCCATAGCTTGTAATTTGCTAGCGTCTCATCCTCTGCCTTTGCTTATGATATAATCTCCACCTGAAAAAAGGTGTAATTTTGTCCTGTGAGTTTGCAAGTGTCCCACTGTATGTCAAGAGACTGATCTCAATGTGTCGCTGTACGTTCGGATGCTCGGTGCAGAATGTGCGCTTGTGTTTGTTAGGTCACTGCGGAAACCATTACGTGTGCTTCCTCCATTTTCTATTTTTGCTTTATTAACTGTAAATCGACCAGGCTGGCAGAGTACCTTACAAAGCTAGCCTCATTTTTACCTTGCCTTTCACTAAATGTGTTGTTTCTTAGTGCTCTCTCACTCTCTTTCTCTCCCGCCCTTTTATTTTATTATTTTGCATCCTGTGAATCCTGAAGAAGTGGAACGGTTTGGTCACTTTGGACTTAAGCTTCACAGAGCCACATATCTGTACTTGTTGTTGACTGAGTTGCATGTGTGTAACTTACAAAGTAATGTTTGTGTCAATGTGCTGTCTGGATGATCTAATGTATGTCTCACTGCAAATAAAACCGGTTAGATCATACTAGTCATTGGTAACCTGTATCATTTCAGTTCGACATCAATGAGCTGGTTATAGGAAGGACAGTACACCCAAAAATAAAGAATCCATCATCATTTAGTCACCCTCATGTCATCCCAAACCTATATGACTTTTTGTTTTGTGGAACACAAAATAATGTGGAATACATTTACAGTCAATTGGGTCCAATATTGTTTTTGGACCCCATTGACTTTCATTGTGTGGACAAAAAACGGTTATTTTGTGTAGAAATGAAGTAATACAGGTTTGGAACGACATAAGGGTGAATAAATGACAGAATTTTAATTTTTAGCTGAACTATCCCTTTAAGGTTTATAAAGCTGTCACTGAACAAAGCTGTGCATGTTATTACTGTTTTGCTTTAAAAATCAATACATGCACCAGAATTAAATTTATACACCTAAAAGATCAGAGTTAGACCGGTTGATAGGTTGAAGATCAACTTTAGAAAAGTTGATTAAAGGCTGAATAATTCAATGAAACCCTCTTTCTCATCATGCATAATTAACAATAAACTCTGCATAATAATTAATAATAATAATTAATAATTCATTACATTTATATAGCGCTTTTCTAGGCACTCAAAGCGCTTCACATGGAAGGGGGAATCTCCTCAACCACCACCAATGTGCAGCATCCACTTGGATGATGCGACGGCAGCCATATTGCGCCAGAACGCTCACCACACACCAGCTTACTGGTGGAGAGGAGACAGAGTGATGAAGCCAATCAGTGTATATATATATATATAGGGATGATTAGGAGGCCACGATGGACAGAGGCCACTGGGCAAATTTGGCCAGGATGCCGGGGTTACACCCCTACTCTTTCGAAAGACATCCTGGGATTTTTAATGACCACAGAGAGTCAGGACCTCGGTTTAACGTCTCATCTGAAGGACGGTGCTCTTTGACAGTATAGTGTCCCCGTCACTATACTGGGGCGTTAGGACCCACACAGACCACAGGGTGAGCACCCCCTGCTGGCCTCACTAACACCTCTTCCAGCAGCAACCTGGTTTTCTCAGAAGGTCTCCCATCCAGGTACTAACCAGGCTCAGCCCTGCTTAGCTTCAGTGGGCAACCAGTCTTGGGCTACAGGGTGATATGGCTGCTGACAATACATATTTAGCACTCTGTCTCCTCTCCACCAGTAAGCTAGTGGGCGTTCTGGCGCAGTATGGCTGCCGGCGTATCATCAAGGTGGATGCTGCACATTGGTGGTGGTTGAGGAGATTCACACCTTCCAAATGCGCTTTGAGTACCCAGAAAGCGTTATGTAAATGTAACAAATTATTATTATTATTACTTGCTTCTTCATTTTTATATAGCATATTTATTTGGAAATATTTTCTGGCTGTCACAGAAATAATTCATGGTATGGTTTCCATTCTGGTGTTTTTGTTTTGTGACTGTACATTATGATTAAAAAAAAAACATTTATGTGATTTGCACAGGTTTTTTTTTTTTTGGGCTGAATACTTTCCTCTGCCTGCCAGCTCATTTTGTCCTGGGGTTTGAGCAACTCTGTGAAAGATGTAACAACAAGACATGGGAAACGGAGTTGGAGCAGAGTCCCTTTTTTTCGCTTGGTTGAGAGGTTTTAGTTTGTAGACAAGCTATTCAGCTCTTACGGTCACTGGAACTGTGGAAGTGGGTGGGAAAATATGCAACAAAAAAAATGAGTGCAAAGATCATTTTACATGCAGATTCTGGTAAAAAAAAAAATGAGTGCATAACAAATACTAGATTGTTGATACTTTTTGCACATTGGGCACCACATACTTGTGTCGTTCTCACAATGCAATGTCATGTTTCTCCTGATTTGCAGCACCTCTGTCCCAAGATATTTTGTTTTGATTCACACTCAGGGTGCAAAATGCTGCAGGCCATGAGAGGAGGGGAAAAAAAAGAGAAAACATTGTAGTTCCCATGGGAAGGTTGAGAGGTTGATTTGGATAAAAGTTGTTGCTTTAAATGGTAGGATTGAATAGAAACATGGGCCTTAATTAAATAGCCATTTCTTTCCTTTTGAGATTGTGAAAAGATAAACACTGTGGTCTTATAAGACTTTAAACTAATAGATTCTAACTGTCTCGCCCTCCATGCCTCTGAGGTGCCAAAGATCACCACAGACCTGGCACCTCTCGGCTCTCTCGAGACCAGGGTACGGAAAGTTCACAATCACAAAGGTCATACCAAGGCCTTGAAAGGACAAGTCATCGTGCAAAAACTCAGATGTCAGCTGAGATGTCTCAACAACCGGCTGCAACACAAACTATTATTTGCTGGATTAGTAAGAATACATCATTCAAAAGTATAGGGTCAGTAAGATTTGTTATGCTTTTGAAAGAAGTCTCCTATGCTCACCAAGACTGCATTTTAAAATACAGAAAAAACAGTAATATTGTGAAATATTATTTATAATTTAAAATAGCTGTTGTCTATATTATTATATTTTAAAATGTAATTTATTCCTGTGATGGCAAAGCTGAATTTTCAGCATCATTACTCCAGTCTTCAGTGTCACAATATGCTGATTTGATGCTCAAGAATCATTTCTTATTAATATTAATGTTGAACAGTTTGAAATAGAAATATTTTCTAACATTCTATATGTCTTTACTGTTATTTAATGCACCCTTGCTGAAAAAAAAAAAAGAATTTCTTTAAAAAAAAAGTTACCTACATTTTGCAACTTAAAATGTTTTTAAAAAAGAGAACTAAATGACAAAGAATGATTTTAACTTAATTTATTCACACAGAATAGTTATAAATAAAAAATAATATGTATATATTCTTGTCACTGTCCATTACTTTGGGAACCTGATATCATTTTTTAGTGTAGTGTAGTGTGCATTAAGTTATATTGATGATCTCTTTTCTCCCCTACTGCAGAACGGCAAATATGCTTCTGAAAATCAATCGATTGTATTAGTTATTGTTGAATACAGTAGCTTTAAGTGCACTTGAGTGATTCTGAGAAGATGAACTCTTGACTTGATCTCGGTGAGGTCACGGAGACTCTCGTGAACAGTGTCTCACAGGCTTAGCACCTATAGTAGCCTAGTTCTCAAGGTGCCACTTCAAGGTGCCAGTCTAAACAGTGGCATCTCAAAACTCCCACACACTCACCCACACACCTTCAAAGAGTCTAAATATGTAGTCAATGGCTTTCTAAGATGTTTTCAAATCACATATTATTGATTTTGAGTGTTCAGCCATTTTAAAAATGTGAAATTAGCAGCACATGTTGCAGCACACTATGCTAATCAATGCTAATGCTAATCAAAGTTTACAAAATGGAATCTAAAAGCTTTTATCAGTCTACAAATCAATGGGCTTTATTTCTCAAGTCTTTTCAATGGCAGTATATTAGTGTGAAGGCTCTTAATATTGTTTAGCCAGCCTCATTAGCCCAGTTACATGTGTGGTGTGAAATTCCATTAAAGGTTCACACAGACAACTGACCAGTGGACTTCCCTTTAATGTGGTTAAATTAGAGGTGTCGTTTAACACCTTGGCTGTGAGAGAATGACCCAAGCCTCTGTCCCCTTACAACTGTGACCTATTGACCACACATTATCGTCTGTATATTGGTTTCTTAATAATCAGAGAAAGCAGGGTATAGATTTATCCTTTATTTGTTCATCAATGGCTATACAACTTTGCATTAGAGAACTTTCTTGTTATAAATTATGGCATGTTTATTTGGCATAAAACTATTAAAAAAAGTTTTTATTTTATGTACGTATGTATGTATGTACGTATGTATATATACTGTATATATATATATATATATATATATATCGTATTATATATATTGTATATAAGCATATAGATTTTATATATAACATTTCATATTTATTTATACTCCATGGGGAATTTGAAATAATGATAAATATATTATAAAAAAATATATCATGTGATCATATTGTCAAAAATATATGTGACTAATTATTCAAAGTTGAACATAGGACAGCGGCATATGATACAGTGATAAACATTTTTATATAAATATATAAAAAAAATATATATATGTATATGCCATCATGTTGATTGACTACTGTATATTTTACTGTATACTTTACAGTATTTCTGCTATTTTTTTAATTTGCCAAATGCTACATAGCATGAATATTTTTAATGAACCACTTTTTCACATATATTTCAATACCACTTTATCGTGTTTCTATTTATGGATTGAAAGTAATCCAAATACTACTGGAGATCTTGATGTTAAAAACAGAAAAAAAAAAGTTCATGCTGGGTAGGGGTGAAAAATCACACATTACCTGATGACTCATATCTGTAGGTTCCCACATCGGGACTGGACTGGATCCCTCTCTCCCTGTAGTCTGGTCTGAGACAGACAGTGGTGGCCTGGAGAGGCCTGTGGAGGTGTCACTTCACACCTCTCAGGCCTGAGGCTGGTATAAATCCTCCCTCCAGCAAACCCTCCAGCATCACCGACCCTCTCTAACCACACAGCATGGACGTGTCTTCTCCACTCCTCCGCTACTTCACACAGAACTCCTGGAGCTGCCCGAGCTCAGACTCTGAGTTCTACAACATCTCATCTCCTGAAGCAGTGTCTCCTACCTCCTACATGGACTTCTCTCCTTCAGCCCAGCTTCAAAACAGTTCTTCTCCACCTTCCAGAGGTGCCAAAGCACCCGTTTCGGGTTCATTACATCAGGACGGCGCATGTTCCCGTGTCGGAACTAGAAGAACGCGCTCCAAGAACCCGAGCAAGCAGAGACAGAGTGCCAGCGAGAAAGAGAAGCTCAGAATGAGGGACTTGACCAAAGCTCTCAATCACCTCAGGACTTACTTACCTCCTTCAGTGGCTCCTGTCGGTCAAACCTTGACGAAGATCGAGACCCTTCGCCTCACCATCCGCTACATCTCCTATCTGTCTGCTCAACTAGGCCTCAGCGAAGAGTCTCTCTGCCAGATGAGGGACCTTGGAGCTTCTAGATACCAAGACTCGTCTCAATATCAGGGCAATTCAACACCTGAGTATTGGGGACTCAGCACATCACATCAAGAACTGTGTCAAAGCACCTTCAGACCTTCAGAGCATGTCTTGAGGCAGACAGAAATGGATTGTCATCAGGTTTTCATGGAAACACCTGCTTATGATGATTCCTTCAACTCCAGCTCAGAATCTCTTCTGGCCAGCCCTTTGTATGCAGATACAGCCACAACATACCAGGTGTGTACTTTGTTTATGCATATTGTGTGATTTATTATTAATGAATATTTTGCTTTCTAAATGCTGTATAAAATACTTACCATCTTTTGTCCTCTCTTTTTAGGGCTACAACAAAGCCGTCCACTATCCGGTTGCTCCGGAATTCTGGGGATGAAACTTTTATTGGACTTTTTTCACATATTTAAAACTTTTCAAATATTTTATTTTATGGACTCTGTACAGTATTTAATGTATTTTAATATATTGTTTTATCTTATTTTAAGATGTCTATTTTAATATTATATATTTTGTATGTTATCTTTTTTGTACAGAAGTATACTAATTTATTGATATTTATAATAAAAAAAGTATCTAAATGTCAACGTTTTGATTTTGTGTATTCATTTGAAATTAAAAATGAAATTAACTTTTTACTACAAGATTTTTTTGAATTATTAATAAATAATAATAAAAAAGGTTTTGACTTTTTAAAATCAACTTTTAGCATTTTTGCAGTTCACATATGTTGGCCTATTTAAACACTTTAAATGTAGCCTATTATTTTATTTAAAACAACATTTTTGCAATTCACTTCAATAATTATTGATTTGAATATGTTTTCAAACCTATTCCAGATTGATCACTGAGGCTCCCTGTTTGTTGGAGATACAGTATATCTAATTGCAGCACTATAGACCTAATGCCGCGTTCCAGGCAACCTGTAACCCGTGTTTTTTCAACTCGTAACTGGGAGTACATCGATCTAGTACGAATTCACGGGTGGGAAGTCACGGGTTTGACTGCCGTTCCAGTGCACTTTCACGGGTATAAGGTTGGAAAAACACGGGTAACAGGTTGCCTGGAACGATGTACTCCCAGTTACGAGTTGGAAAAACACGGGTTACAGGTTGCCTGGAACGATGTACTCCCAGTTACGAGTTGGAAAAACACGGGTTACAGGTTGCCTGGAACGCGGCATTATTCACAGCAGCGCCATCTTTGATAGACAAGATACACACATCACTTCAGTGGGTTGTACTGTTATTTAATGTGTTTTTACATTGTTCTGCTTTTTACATTGTACAAAACAATGTTTTTACATTGTTTTACACTGCAACACTGCTGAAACACTGCAATAAAATCTCTTTCCAATAAATTTTTGTAGACAAAAAACTCTAGATAACATATATTGTGGAAAAAGATAAGTGATCTATGAGATGTATAGCGAATGCAATTGAAAACAAGTCATACCTGTCATGACCAGCAGAGCCATAGAGAGAAATGACCATAGACAGTAAAAGAAATGGACAGAGCCATCTCATTGGAACTCAGTTGAGACAGTTGAAGCCCATTTTTAGCGATTTCTGAGCACTTCCGTTCCTGACGCGCAGACTCAAACCGACTCAAACTAAGCTTGATGACGTGAGCAACCTGTCTGACAGACGTGAATCTTCTAGTAGCTGTGCCAAGAGGAATCTGAATCATTCCCTTCCGAAACTTGCAGAGCCGGAGATCGTGAGTATTAGCTGTCCATGAGCTCGCAGCAGGAGCAACTTTACAACTCTCTATGGGCTTCTCCCTTGACTTTATGCCTCGACGTCCCCCCGATTGCGCGCGAGTTTCTCCTCCTGTCTGTACGGTAATTTCTGTACAGCGCGACAGAGAGTCGAGTGGTTATGACGCAATCGTTAGCCTATTTTTACTAAATCTGTTTCTACGGGGCCATAACGTAACATAGAAGGTAATGGAGCCTTTTATACATTGTCGTGTTTCTTTAGAAATAAAAAATGGACAAATGGAGTCTTTAAACGCCTCAGATGTAAAGTTATTCGCTGTCAAAGTGACGCCAAAATGAATGGGAGTCAATGGAAATGCTAACGCAAGTGAAGTTCTGCTACAAGATGGCGGCACCCGGCCGACTTCAACTTCCGGTCGATGGATTACCCCCTTGGAAATGACCAGCAGCCTCAGACCGGAAGTTAGGAGCTGACGATTGCCTAACCCGGCCCAACCCAACCACAAACCCTAACTTCACTATTTATAAGTGAAGTTATAGTGAATGCCCAACCTCACCCACCACTAAAACTAAACTTAATAATATAATACAAGCTTCACCCCAATTTCCGGTCTGAGACTGCTGGATGGCGCTGCTGTCCTGAAACTGCTGTGATGTAAATCTGCAGTTGGTTGGTATTGGGTTGTTTTGTTGTGGTGAAATGTCTAATGTCTCCATAAGATGGCGCAATTTTACAGCCACAAGCCAGCAATGTATTTTTCATGATTCCTCCTCTTCATGTCATTCGAAATCACATACGTCCTACTATATAGTAGATGAAAAACATTATGTGACAAAAGACGCATGTCTGAATTCACAGTAGCCTACTCCAAAAAAAAAGAAAAGAAAAGTAAGTAGGCTAAGCTAAAGTATCCGGTTGATACTACTTCCGGCGAGATTTGAAGTGTGCATACGATTGACTATCCCATGAGGCCACGGGAGAGATTTGAAGAAATCCTACTGACAGGCACCAGCTTTGAGTCTCACCTTAGTCATTAACATTTAAATTACACCCCAAATCCTGATAATGGGCTTTTGCAGCCAGTATTCACATGTAGGAGTAGCAGATTCCAGCAGATAAAGCAAATTTAATATGCAGTTAAAACCCATCTAAATAAATAATTAAATATAACCAGCACAGTACAATTGCTTAAGCAAGACCAAGTTTAAATATTATGATCCTTTTTTGATGGTTAAATGCTATAAATGCAGCTATATGTGTTCATGTAGAAGGATTGTGAGAATATTATATTAATATCAATATATTCAGAGTGATAATGTTCTTCAAAACATTATATAATTGACTTTTATTTGTTATTAAAAAGCCAAACCACTTGATATAATCTGGAAAATTCTCTTTTTTTTATCAACATCAATATTAGAATAATTTCAATTCAATTTAACTTTATTTCCATATCACTTTTCATAATACATTTTTATTTCAAAGCAGCTTCACAGGAAATAGTGCCATATTGATAAGCTAAAGACAACAATGGCTAGAAAAACTCCCTAAAAAGATAGCCTACTATTCTTGAACATTTTTATATCAAGAATGACATTTAAAATTGTAATTTACAAATTTACATATTTTATGCATTTTTAAAATTACATTTACATATTTTTTTTACATTATTATTTTACTTAGGCTTAAAAAAAATCCCCTCTGAGGCCCTCTGGTGGTCTAACAGACTAAATAATACAGATAGAAGTTGCTTAAAGGGATAGTTAACCCAAAAATTAAAATTCTGTTTGTTCTAAACCTGTGTGATTCTAGAGTTTCTTTGTTCTGATGAGCATAAAAGAAGATATTTTGAAGAATGTTGGTAACCAGACAGTTGCTGTTCCCCATTGACTTCCAAAGTGTTTTTTTGTTTTTTTTTTATGCTATAAGTCAATTGGGAACAGCAACTGTCTGGTTACCAACATTCTTCGAAATATCTTCTTTTATGTTCACCAAAACAAAGAAACTCACACAGGTTTAGAACAACTTGAGGGTGAGTAAATGATGACAGAATTTTAATTTTTGGATGATATATCCCTTTAATTGAAATATCTTTCTCTCTAAGCATGCTAAAATAGATATACCTTTATATGTAGCCAGATCAAATAATTAGCCAATATTATTTTAAACATTTTAATATTCTAATCAACAAAAGTGCTTATTCCACCTTGCTTTCATCTCAAAATTTATTTATTTTCAAGCAAATTTAGTTTAAAAATTGCTAAATAAATATTTGTCTAATTTCAGCATGTTTAATGTCTCATTTACGTAAATAAATTGCATTAATATATTTTGACTCGAGATATCGACCAAAAAACTCAAATCAGTCAGACACTTAAATACAGCTTGTATCTTGATCAGAAATAAGGGTTGAAATTCTTTTTATTAAAATATTATATGTAATACTTTTGTATTATAATATTATTATATATTATATAACATTTATTTTTAATTCATTCATATTTTATATTTATATTTGTTTTTTACATTACATTTTCAGATTACATTTTTCAGATTATATTTTATAAACTAAATTATATTTAATTATATTTAAACTCTACTATAAAAAAATAATAATAAAAAAAAATATTCCCAAAGCCTTTCCAGCTCATTACAAAAAAAAACGTCAGCTTAGTACTAATCAGGCCTGTGCAAACAGAATATCTTTCTTAATGAACTACAGGTCAACAAAAAAAGAGCATCTCGCACCTCTAAGTCTGGAGTGGATGATCCCGGCTTCAAAAGCCTGAACTTCATGCATCCTTATCTTCATGATCCTCTAATGCGAGAGGGGTCGGACCGCTGCATGCGTTGCAGGACCGTCCCGAGGTGCGAGATACTGAGGTAATTAGAACTAGGAGTCTGCTTTCCATACCCTTGACCCTGTGACTGATATGCTAATGTACAGCTCAATACACAGTTTACAGAGCACTGGGAGGAAAGGATTTAGACTATTTAGTTGTTTACCTCAAATCAACATTTAACCGAGCAGGATAAGAAAAACACTTCACATTGATGTGCTAATCGACCTTTGATGCTTTAGGAAAAACTAAGACGCTTTGAAAAGGGAGAAGTCAACTCATTTGCAGGGAGGCCTGAGACTTTAAATCAACATTTCGGTGAATTAACGGTGAACAGTGACATGTTTAATGAGTTGAGCGCACAATTTGTGTTTTTGGATGTTTGCGTTTGTTATTTAGTTTGGCGTTGTGTGAGTTTGCTATATTTTTTTAATCTAGTAGGCCGTTAAATGCAAAAATGACCTTTATGTCAGATGAACATTTGAATTCCCTAACCTCATGTTCAGAACTTTCTCATTTATCAGCAGTGTTACACAAGTCATTTCTTCTGATGTTGTCTCAGATCAGTGTGTTGTCTGGGAACAGTCCAAATCGAATTATTTGAGGTCAGCACGGGGCAGGAAGGAGCAAAAAGTGACACGTTGTGGTCTGGGAACCATTTCCTCAGAGCTACTCACACTGAAGCTGTAATCCACAAGCCCAGGCCTGAGGAAGACCTCACCTTACACCTCACAGAAGTTAACAACAACTGCATACACAACCAGCAATATTTCATCTTGCTTCAAATCTCAAACTTTTGCACTATTTGCTTTTTAATTATATTGTCATTTGAATTTTGAAGTTGCTCTTAATTAAAAAAAAATCTTATTTATGTATTGTATAATTCAGAGTAACATATATTATTTTCTATATAATGTATTTTATATTTTTATACAAAGTAAAACTGAGTTGAGTAAAACTGTTTTAAAAATCAACCATTTAAAATATGCCCTGTTTAAAAAAAATAATGTCCTTTCTGAGTTGTGAGGTCATAAAAGGTAAAAGTCAGTTGTCTAAACAAAAACCTGTGAACAACTGACAGATTACAGGCTACACACACTTCACGGAAATGTGTTACTCTGAGAGAGCAAGTATTTTATAAAAAGCAGAACATAAGACATTTCAATTTGTTAACTTTATAAAATTAATACAAAATAATGAATGCATAAATAAATGTGCTCCTGGTAAACCCTATACACAAAAATGCTGGGTTGTTTGAACCCATGTTTGTGTCAAATATGGACAAACCCAACCGGTAAAAAAAAAAAAAAAAAAAAAATTACATTTTAAACTTAAATTTAATATATTTTTTATTATGTAAGTTATGGGGACCAAATTTCCCCATAGTAATACCAGTATTTTATTTATTTATTTATTTATTTATTTATTTATTGTTTTTAGAAAAAATGTAAAAATGCAGAAAGTTTTGTGTGTGTGTGGTTTAGGTATTCCCTACATTATGGGGACAAAATGTCTACACAAAGATAGAGAAAGAAAGAAGAAAACAGTTTATTATGTTTATTGATCAGTTTTTTGGGATATAGGTTTAGGGGATAGAAAATAAACAGTTTGAATAGTATAAAAATCATTATGTCAATGGAATATCCCCATTAAGTAGGGAGCGTGTGTGTGTGTGTGTGTTTGTGAAAATTAAATGGAAAAAATCAATAAAACAATCAAATACAATATAATTTGATCCAACATGGAACATAAATTTGAATGGCATTGTTTTGTTTGCCTAGCTTTGCATTGCTGATTAAAACTAAACAATAACTAAAAAGGAATTTATAAATTGATTGATTTTTTAATGTGTGACATACTTAACTTAAATAAATAAATAAAAAACTCCAGACTTTAAATCTAAATGTATCTTGAACTTGTCCTGCACCGATGACTGTTATTTTACCTCCGCATTCAGCACCTCCCACCTGTGCTTGCAGTGATGTGAGTTTTCCCAGAGACCCCCTGCCCCTGGTGTGACGTCTCTCTGCCGCTTTGAAATTCTCAAGCGCCTTGTGGAGGTGCAACATCGCACCTCTTCATCCTGGATATATTGGGCTTCTGCCTCCAGCTCTTTAGCATTCACTCAGGTACCAGAGAACGAGAAGGAAACATCTCCTCAGCTGAAAGATCACAACCATGGAGTTTAACTTCTCTCCGTATATGCTCCAGGGAGCCGCATGCCAGTTTGAATACAAGCGATCACCTACCAGCGTTGATGCTGGGTACTTCAGTGCCTGTGGAAGTCTTTCTCCGAGCTCCTCCATTGATTCTGGGTGTTTTTCTCCTCCTGCGAGCTGTTGGAGAGCTGGAAGACATCTGGAAGCTGCAGGGGAACCCGACATCGACTGCATACCAGCTAAAAAACCCAGAACAATTCTTCCTGCTGAGGGAAAGAGACGTTCCAGGTCCAAAAACCCTGGAACAAAGCGTCAGACGGCCAGCGAAAGAGAGAAGCTCAGGATGAGGGATCTGACCAAAGCTCTCCATCATCTCCGAAACTACCTACCTCCTTCTGTGGCTCATACTGGACAAACCTTGACCAAGATTGAGACCCTTCGCCTCACTATTAGCTACATCTCGTATCTTTCTGCTCAGCTGGAACAGACTGAGACCTCCAATCATGAAACATCACCAAGATGCTTCTCACAAGATACTTCAGACAGGCTTCAGACTGAGACCTGGTGTCTGGTTGGGCCAGAGGAACTCATGCAAGATAATGTCCAGAACTGTCCAACATTCACAGCCTTCAGTGATTCAACACAACAGATGGAAAACAACTTTCCTTCTACTTCACACTTCAGAGATGCACAATCCTATAAGGTAAGGAGATTTTTCTTTACAATAATACTGAATGTTTATTTAATAATGACTAAGGGTTTTATTTGTTTGTTACACAGTGATTTAATTGTGTGTTTAATTCCCTTTTTCTTCTTTTAACAGTTTCCCTGTGCAACAACACATGATGCTACGTACAGCCATCAGTTTTTTCAATGAAGAACACGGAGAGGATATTCCAAAAACACTGCTCACTGTGTGAAAACTTTACTTAAAGACTTTATTTTTTTCCGTTGCATTGATTATTTGTACTTATTTATCAGATAACATATTTTTCTATTGAAACATTTGTATGTATTGCTTATTTATTGTCTTTTTCAATTAAATGCTTTAAAATATTACACATTTTTGCATTTTCTTATTTTTTTCCTCAGACATTTTTGAAATCACAATTTGAATGCTGCTATAATAAAATAATTTTAGTAAGCACAAATACAAAAAAATGATTTACATTGAATATAGGATTGTATAGGTGTATAGGATTTACATTGAAAACACCTTTTTACTCAATAATGTGAGTTTACACCAAAAAAAAAAAATCACATTTTTAAAATAATGTGAAGTAGAAAAACTAGAATAGTATTTTCTTGTAAAAAGTATACCAATGATCTTTTTACAGTGTATGGTTAAATGGGTTTTGAATGAATGGCATAATAAGTTATGTCTAAATATGTCTATAATTGTCCATAAAATTATTTTAATTATTGTCTACATATAAACAATTCTTGAGAAAGAATTGAGAAAGTGCGCCCTCTGGTTTTTGATAGGTAAAATATAAGCTGCAACCTGATTCCAAAATGAAAGGAGCAAAGCCATTTACATGGTTGGTGCAGAAACAATGGATGCAGGCAAAGCTAAATGCTCGGTAGGCCTACAAAATGTTAAAAAAAGATAAAATTGTCATCACAAGATTGCGTTATTACTGTTACTGTTTTTTACATTTTACAATAATCCAATCATCTTAATTTTACAATTGGTTTACAAAAAGAGGTTCTTAGTTCATTTGTTTAGTTAATACTTCACTCATCTGTGATAGCGCGCTCTTGTGCTTCATGTGTTGATTTTGTGTCAGTGCTTTCTACGGAAGCTGAAAATTAAATCAAATTTTGATTAGTCAACATATGTGCGAATGAAAACTAATACATTGTTAATTATAAAAGAAATATAATATTTATAGCATCCAGTAATCAACTGTGTTTGTAAACAATGCATGGTAACACTTTATTTTGATAGTCCACTTTAGACATTATACTAACTATAAGTAACTTTGCAGCTACATGTCAACTAACTGTCATTAGAGTAATAGTAGACTGTCTGCTTAATATCTGCTAACACTTTATTTTGCTGGTCCCCTGACAGATATTATAGTAACTTAGCAACTACAAGTCAACTTGTTCTCCTAACCCAAACCCTAACACCTACCTAACAGTCCACTGACAGTCTACTACAGCCTACTAATACTGAGAGTTGACATGTAGTTGAAAAGTTACTTATAGTTAGTAGAATGTCTAAAGTGACTATATCGAAATAAAGTGTAACCCAATGCATTTTACTCTTTAGTCACTCTGATGTGAAAATAATACAAACATAATATTTAAAACAAATTACTCACTTGAAGCAGAGGAATAAACACCTCCAGATGATGCTAGAACATGAAGGGAAGTTAAAAAGCATTTATAAAAATTCCTTGAGGATATATCTGCGTCCGAAATCGCATACTCTCTTGAGTATGTACTTATTTTGAATAAGTTATTACTTTACAACCATTAAAAAAAAGTATGTTCTATATAGTGTGAGTGAGTAGTATGAATGGATGTATACATCCATGTTTATTATAACGTAATCTGTCAGTGTCAGTTGAGTCGTTTCACTGCCATTCACAAATTCTCCACTGTATCCTCATGGGATAGTAAAGTATGCACACTTCAGAATCTTGCCGGGAGTAATATGGCCACCCGGGTAATTTTTGCCTACTCTTTTATTTTGGGCATACTTCTTTTGTCACATACTGTTTTTCACTTATATAGTAGGGAAATATGCGACTTCGGATGCAGACTTAGGTATTTTTCATTCCTTCCAGAGTAGATCCTGCTCGTCTCCTCCTGTATTTATATATGACGGCTCCGGTCCCAAATACCAACAGCAGAGCCAAAACTATCAGCACTGAAGGAATCACTGATTTAAATGGTTCACCAGGCTCAAATTCTAAAAACAAACACATTAGAAAGGTCACAAACAATTGACAAACACTACTGGGAGATTTTATTATTTTCTTAAAACCAGATCATTACCTAAAGTGATGTCCAATTTGTTGTCCAGACTGAGGTGTGTGGCAGAGCAGCTGTATCTGTGTGTGTCTGCACTGATCTCCAGACTCTTCCTCATCTGGTACGTCCCGTCACCATTGGGCAGCAGATCTCCTCCAGTGATCTCATGATCAGATACAGGGTCTCCATCTCTGAACAGGGTCAGGTTGATGTGACGAGGGTAAAATCCTGTTGCCAAACAACTCACACGAAACCCTCCAGAATCTGAGTTTGCTTTCTGAATCAGTCTGACTCGCGGTTTCACTGTGGGAAAAAAGGTAACAGAAATATATAATTTCGATATATACTGGTCTGAAAAAATGCTAAATGTAAATCAAAACTTTTTTTTGTAGTTTAGCTGCGAGTCAGTCATCATACCTTTTTTATTGATTTGAGTCCTCCTTTTTTTAAGATAACCCTTGAGTGTTTTGATGCAGAATGGCTGGTATAAAAATTCATGACGCCTCATGTTAAATTCAAGATTTAAATGTCTACTGACATCTGAAAGACCCTGGTATGTGAAGTTCTTGTCAACAAATCGCAACTCATCTGTGGTGGAGCCTCTGACAGCATCTCGTGTGATCATTTGTCCCGCTTCACCATCATCTCTCAGTTCACACACAACCAGCCTCTGAAGGGCAAGAACACCTTTAATGGAGAGATAAAGATTTAATAGTGTTTATTTAAAAAAAAATCCATTACATGCTCAACCAAACAACAACAACATAATAATAATTTAAAGTATAGAATATTTCTATTAAAACCTATAGTCTTGTATAATACATACCATCAGTTTTGTTTAAATATTTGGTTGCTATTGCCCATCTTCCCATAAAAGAGGACTGTATAGTCATTAATCAAACATGTCGTCTTCAGTCGTTGTATTTCCTCTTGGAATGAAAGTCTTCGTCTCACCGTTATAGTACATAATTCTGATATCATCCAACATCCCTACATAGCTAAATTCAGGAAATGGCGTTTGTCCTTTAATGTACATTGCAAGCACCCACAAAGAGTGAGAGCCTGTGGAAAATAACAGGAAATTGTAAGCAACAACTAAAACAATTGATATATTTTTTGAATTGTTAGCATGTTTGATGTATTACATGTTTTTTAATGATGTTTAAATTTAAAGTGTTGCATTGAATAAATTAAAACCTGCAGTCAGTGACAATTCTTTGAATTCTCACTCAAGACTCATTATGGACAGCAAGCCAAAGCAGTTTAAATATTTACCGAAACATCTTTATAGAAGTATAAAATCTTTATAGACTCACGGAAGTCAAAACGGTGTTAAAAGAACCATGTGAAGGTGAACTGGTGTTTCATAACATGTATTTTTATTTCAAATGTGAAGAACAAATAGCACATGTATTAAACAAGCAAAAAAAAAACTCTTAACTCCATCTTAAAATAACACCAAACTTTAAAAGTCTAGAGTAATCAATTTGTTTTTGTTAAAAATTTCATTTCATGTGCTTTTCAGGCTTACAATTATATACTGAAACCACTTGGTTGTTCTATTTGTTTACTGTATGAACAACTCAGCAGTGAGGTTTGATTGAGGAGTAGACGTGTCCAAAACAGATTCTAAGAGCTAGCAAAATTTAATTAAAGTTTACATAAATTGGTTTTATTGAATTCTTTTGAAATTCAATGAGCTGTTGGAAGCAAAAGCAGAAAAAGAAGATTGGTTTTTTCCATATTTCTGACACACGCCTATAGGCACACTCGCAACTTTGAAATAAACTTGTTCCACCCTTGGATAGTGATTGTTTTGACTCAACTTTATAGCTTTTAATATTTAGCTAGCAATAAAAATAAAAAAAAATAATGCATGTCTGTTAGGCAATCTTTGCACCACAAACAGGTTTTGTCTTTCCCTTTCGCATTTGTCTCAAACTTTCCATGACTAACAGTGGCCTCTACAAGAACATCTGGTTCTGTTTTGAACGACAAAACGACAAAATTGTGTTCATTGTTTGAAGATGTTTCTCTGCTCATGTTGTTTTGCAGGGCGAGACATTTTTATTTAATGTTTAATCTTCTTCACGAGAAATTACAGCTCATTATATGAATTTGTTGTAGGCTACACAATAAAGTTGGAAGTCTTTAGTCTGTAACCTTAATAGCAGTAAGCCATCAGAAACATTTGTAATAACAAAATTAACATAATATTTAAATATTAATATAACACTGAAACTAATATAAAAGTGTGTAGATATGTGGACATGTTTAAAACATGTATGATCCTCCAGATAGATGTCAGTCTGTGACAGTGTTGATTTCACAGAACAAAATCCGAGATATTGGATCACTAAAGATGTGCTTGAATTGGAGGATGTGATTGGAAAGTAAATGCAAATTTTTCATCTAAAATCACATAATGTGTCGAATCTTGTATATAGGCCAATATGTCGAGCGTCAGTTTTGCCCCGAAAGAGATCGTAAAACTAATCCATATGAATTGAGCAGTTTAGTCCACATTTTCTGTTGAGACACGACCACTTTATATGACGAACAGAGTGAATTTGTTGTTACACTGAAAAAGTCATGTAAAATTAGGATGTGTGTTGACCTCAGAGAGCCAAATAAAACAGTGTTTGTAGACTCTTTTCCATTGCCACACATGGATGAACTACTCTCTGCTCTAAATGGTTCTACTGTTTTCTCTACTATTGACTTGACTAATAATACTTACTAGCAAGTGCCACTGCATGAGGACAGGACAGTCGTGACCTCACTGCCTTTATTACTCACGACGGACTGTTCTTTTTTTGTTGTGTTCCTTATGGATTGGCTTCAGCACCCAAGGCATTTCAGAAGATGATGATCATCAGCTGCCTTGTCACGGACATGATATGTCGGTAACACTTTAGAATACTGTATCTTACTTACTGCATAACTAATAAGGAATTATTAAAGAACTAGTAGGTAATTCTTCATTAACTACTTCTTCACTACTGTTAACTACGGTACTAAGGAAGATGTGTTAACTAATCAGTAATAGAATTTTATGATTGTGTTAAGTTACAGTTAGTTAACCAATAACTAATGAATTCTGTCATACCTCCTGAAGAACTACTACTAATTATCTACTAATTAAGGTTCAAGAAAAATAACTAAGAAGTAACTAATGAACAGTCATACAAAACTAACCTCAGATTAGTTTTTATATTTTATATACAGTACTGTGGGTGTCTGTTTTCCTCAGCATAGAATGTCATTGAGTAAATTCATGTATTTAGGCAACAACTGAGGGCAACTGAAAATATAGGGAACTTATTAGTAATTAATAAAGAATTATTAGATAATTCTTCAGGAATTATTTATAACCTGGAACAGTATTCTAAAGTGAAAATACAGGGAACCCGTTAGTAATTAATAAATAATTATTAAATAATTATCCAGGAATTGGCTACTTATAACCTGAAACAGTGTTCTAAAGTGAAAATAAAGGGAACTTATTAGTAATTAATAAAGAATTATTAGATAATTATTCAGGAATTACTTAGAACCTGAAACAGTATTCTAAAGTGAAAATATAGGGAACCCTTTAGTAATTAATAAAGAATTACCACATACTTCTGACTCAAATCAAACTTACTGTAAAAAAAAAAACACTATTAATGTAATCATCTAAAAAATACACTACAATGACTCGTTTAAGCTACATGATATCTTCCTTTATTTCAGATGGTATTTTGTTTTAACATGTATACTGCCATTTAAACTCGTTTAACAAACATTTTAAAATCAAAAGTTAAATCTTTAAAAGTAATTCAAGTAATCAACTGATCTCGTTTCCACGGTAGTGGTGCTGGATCTCTTGCGGGAGCTGGGCTCGTGTTCGGCAGGGAAACTGCTTTAACTTCAGACCGCCTCCCTGCGTTTCACTCATAGCTGAAATATGCTGTGACTGACTCCATAACCTGCCCATAAACAAACAGTGCACAGCTCTAAGAACATATTCTAACATCTGATGTAAATAGATTTATATCTTTATGAATAAAATAATTTGTTTTATGCAAGGGATCAGGCGTTTCCATCAAGCAAAAAAGACAGACTCAGCTAGGTAGGGTAATGCACCAAATCGGCGGCGCTGAGAACTCTCCAGAAGAAGATGCAAATGCCCGCGCTCTTGCATTACCAAATCACTGTAAAATGTAGGCTACTGTGATATTGCCGGAACTTGAATGGTGCAAAATAAGTTTAAAATGTATAAGAACTAAGTATAATAATATGCTTTTTTACTTTTTAAGTACTTTAAAAATTAATTACCTTTGTACTAATTTTGAAAATGGCCTAATTATAATTTTACTGGAGTAATATTTGATTGGTGTATATGTACTTTTACTCACGCACTTGATTTGTGTACTTCATCCACCACTGCAAAAAAAAACTGGATTATTGCAGTGACTACTGTGTATGACTGTTCATTAGTAGTTACTTCATAGTTATTTTTCTTGAACCTTAATTAATAGATAATTAATGGTAGTTCTTCAGGAGGTATGACAGAATTCATTAGTTATTGATTAACTAACTGTTACTTAACACAATCATAAAATTCTATTACATGATTAGTTAACACATCTTCCTTAGTAGTTAACAGCAGTGAAGAAGTAGTTAATGAAGAATTACCTATTAGTTCTTTAATAATTCCTTATTAGTTATCCAGCAAGTAAGATACAGTATTCTACAGTGTTACCGATATGTCTATTGAAGGGGTGGATTCGGGAATCCACTGCTGCTTCAATGTATATGTAATGAGGGATTATAATCAATGTATTAATCAATAGTTTTCCTTCTAAACATCACATGAGTTCAATGACTTCTCTAGGCTCATGAGATTTTACTTTGTTATAGAAGTTACCAGTGTGATTACTGAAATGTTCTTTTCATGTATTCTCTAATGTCTGTATTTGATATGTGAATGCAGTAACAGTGCTTGCTTATTTAGCCCGGCTTCTAGAAATTAAATATGGAGTTGTTTTGTTTGAGAAAGGTCTTCAACATGTGTTAAAACATTTAAGGGACCATTTCTCACCCTAACCCTAACCCTAACCCGTAATGCCTTACTTTCCATTTAGATTAAAGTGTCCTCTCCTTGAGAGAAAGAACGTATTATCTTGATGCTTTGAGAAGACTCTCCTGTTTATAGTTAGAGCCTGGCCAAATCCAACCTTGAAGAAGCTTTGTGTCAGTGTGTGTGTTAGTCTTCTTGG